GCCTGCTGTGATTTACTTCGTGTTGTTTTTAGGGGAAAGGCCAAACAGCAGCAGGACTTCGCAGCCAACACGGCCTGCAGACTCAGAGCCGTGTTGCATGAATAAAACATGTGAGGAACATGAAGTGGTGCAGCAGGAGGAGTGGGTTCTGTTGGACACACTCAGATTCTGTTCCTCCTGAGCTCAGGCTGAAGATCAGTCAGATCAGATCCTGGCTGCAGGACCGAGCAGCAACATTCAGATTTTTGTTTTGATYTGTAGCTCCTCCTCCAGCTGAGTCCATTCACGTGCTGGTTTGATGAATCAACAGAAAAACACAACCATGGTGCAGAACTCCTACTTGGCTCACCTGGAACCGGACCAGATGATGTTCCCAGAACCTCTGCAGACCCATTCACCTGCTGAGTGCAAAATATTATCTAACAGAAGCCAACATTACTGTCAGCTAACCTGAGGAGACCCAGGTTCTCCCAGGAGATTCTCTGGGGAGAACCAGGGTCTCAGGTGTTCCACATCACTGATGATTCAGCTGCAGCAAACAGGGAACACCACAACAGGAAACAGGAAGGAGTGCACTGCCCATATTTGGTCAGTGACAGGAAGGAAGTTTGGTTTTCTGCAGGTTGGACCAAGAATCTGAAACCTTCATGTGTAGCTGGATGTTAGCCTCCATGCTAATCTAAAGCTAACACTCATTAGCATTAAACTTTCATGTGTTCAGCTGGATGTTAGCCTCCATGCTAATCTAAAGCTAACACTCATTAGCATTAAACTTTCATGTGTTCAGCTGGATGTTAGCCTCCATGCTAAGCTAAAGCTAACACTCATTAGCATTAAACCTTCTTGTGTTTAGCTGTATGTTAGCCTCCATGCTAAGCTAAAACTAACACTCAGCATTAGACCTTTGTGTTTAGCTAGATGTTAGCCTCCATGCTATGCTAAAGCTAACACTTGTTAGCATGAATTAAAATGAACAGTGTCTCTGCCTTCTCTTTTTCAAAATGAAAACTTAAAYATCTGTTTGATTTTTTAGCTSTCATGATACATTGCTGAAACCACACCTCCATACAGAAGCCCCGCCTCCACGCCCCTCCTCTTTGACAGGATGTCCATCACAGTGTAACACACCTTCTAGCCTGAAACAACTTATTCGCAGCAAGACAACAACATGAATCAGCAGGTGAAAACATTTATCTGAAGTTTTTCATGATTCTGATTTACATAAAGGGGCGGGGCTTAATTAACCCTGAACCACCTGGGGGTCTCTGGTCTTTTGTGGCTCTGGATGGTCCAGAACTGCGAAGATGACCCCGCCCCCACAGAGCAGGCAGAAGAAGAGCTCCTGGGCCTCAGACACAATGCATGATGGGAAACTGTCCTCAGAGCTGATGTGATGTCTCCAGACTTAGCTTCCATCAGCTCCAGGTGGTTCAACAATCAGACTAATGAACCAGTTCAAGTCTGAAAACCAGGTCTCCAAGTCCAGGCTCTGGACCCTGCAGGGACTTGTTGATCAACTGAAACAGTCACAAGAAAATAACGAGCGAAACGTTGGAACAGCTGAACTCCTGTGGTCCTGGTGGATCCTCTGCTGGAACTCTTCATTCAAATGAATCTGGTGTCAGCAGGTCCAGGATCTGCAGCTGGGACCGGTTTCTGCTCAGGTTATCAAACTGTGGGCGGAGCCAGAACAGAACCGTCGCACTGAACAGGGAATCCCAGCATGCATCTTGTTTCAGCTCTGCTATTTTTAGAAAAGCTCGTGGTCTTTCAGGGGGTCCTGGATTCTAGTTCTGCTGCAGGTTCTGATGGTTTCCATCCTGAGCCTGGGTCCGATCAGCAGACCGAGCCAGAACCAGCCGGTAACTGTGAGCGGGTCAGGCAGGACCAGAGGATGGTASGAGTCAGAATGTATGATGACAATAAATCCTCATTAAGAAGATTTGATCCTGAAACGTCTCAAACAGCTGAAGGATCAGCTAACTGCTAGTTAGCTTTAGCGACACTGAGGTGGTCGTAGCTGAGAGTCACACCACAGACTGAGCGTTCAGGTCCTGACTCACCTGACCCACAGGAGCTCCAGGTGATGTGACCACGCCCACACGGCTCAGATTAACTGCCGGCGGCCATCTTTAAAAGGACGGGAGCGGTGCTGGATTAGGGGCTTATCCTGGGTGAGAGAAGTCGACAAAGTGAAGATTAGTCGTCTAACAGCCTCTCTGACTCGTCACAGCTGAGCCTCAGCTGAACTCTTCACCTTCGGCTCATCTTCATCACATTGTTTCAGCTGAAAGACAGGAAGTGAGTCACAAACAGCCGAAACCAGAACCTTRGTCCTTCTGAGACCCGAGACAACCCGAGACTCGTTCTGCTATCAGACCTGCTGCGGGTCTGAAGATGAAGGAGCAAGGTGTTATCAGGTAGTTGCTGGAGCAGATGATGGTCAGTCAGAACAGTGAGTGAAGGCGGGGCTTCCGTACCACTTCCTGTCCTGAATATTCAATTATGTGATTTCAAATTTTGCATTTTGTAAASTGTCAATCAAATGGAGTTAATGTTTGAGGGTACCCCGAACAAGGTTATCATGCAGGACTCAAAGAATCAGAATACATAACGAGTCTTTAGTCTCAGTCTTTTGGTCTCTCGTCTCTGAGTCTTTTGGTCTCTCGGCTCTGAGACATTTGGTCTCTCGGCTCTGAGTCTTTTGGTCTCTCGTCTCTGAGTCTTTTGGTCTCTCGGCTCTGAGTCTTTTGGCTCTCGGCTCTGAGTCTTTTGGTCTCTGGGCTCTGAGTCTTTTGGTCTCTCGGCTCTGAGTCTTTTGGTCTCTGGGCTCTGAGTCTTTTGGTCTCTGGGCTCTGAGTCTTTTAGTCTCTCAGCTCTGAGTCTTTTAGTCTCTCAGCTCTGAGTCTTTTGGTCTCTCGGCTCCGAGTCATTAAGTTTGACTCAAAAACGTTTAAACATCAAACCAACTAAAGACAGGTGGACTGAATGAGGACAGACAAGTGAGACAAACTTCAGTTTGAACACATTTTATTTCTTCCTGAAACAGAAACCTGTTACTTCAGACAAAATTGGTTTTAATAAACGAGTCATCAGAGACAGAAAAGGCCACAGAAACGAGTCACAGTTCAGGAGCAGAAACAGCCTCTAACCTTTACATGTTTTAATATTTCCTGTCAGACGGACACAACGTCCACTTAAAGACATGGACAAGAGCCAGACTCTGGGTTTACAGATACTTACACAGATTATCACACACACACACACACACACACAAATACACACACACAACCACCACCAGCTTTATTTTGAAACTACCTTAGAGCTGTGTTCTGGCAGTGTTACTCTATAATCGTTGATGAACTTGTTTACATGTGAAGCTGCTGGATGATGTCATCATTTATTAAACGTTAAAACAGAATTCTGTCTTTAACTTTCTCCTCATTTTATGACTCTTCAAGTCATTTTTCTGATCATTCTCAGCAGTTTTTTCCTCTCAGAGTTTGTAAAGTTTGTTTTTTCTCTCAGGAAGACTTTCAGTACATTCATGAAACAAGCATGAAGTGATTGAAACATGAGATCAGATTTAAGGCACAATAAAGGTTTCTGTAACAGAAGAATCATGTTTGCTGCTGATGTTCTGCTTTTATTGCATCGGTTTCATGTTTCTGTCTGCTGGTTTCCTGYGACAAACTTTGTCTCGTCTCTGAGGACATTAGAGTCCATGTGTCTCTGGACCAGAACCAGTGCTGGACCAGTCCACACCTGAACCAGTTTTCCTCCATGCAAGAACAGCTAAGTCTTAATCACCATCTGCAGTCAATCATGATCGCTAACAGGAAGTTAAAAGGCCTCACCAAAATAAAAGACCTTCAATGACCTCCACCTGCACTTCTAACAGATTCAAGTAATTTTTAAACCGAAAAATGTAAAATAAAAATAAAACAAGCTGCTGATTATTCTGTTTGATCCAGAATCAGTCTGTTAGCTTCAAAAAGTGCTACGATTATTTGAAGACAAACGAAAAAGA